GACAGCCATAGAATATAGCAGTATAATGACCAGCAATCATATGCGACTGAAAAATAATTAGCAGGCTGTTGTGAAGATGTGGCGCTACAAAAAAATAACATGAAGGGTAAGACAGCTGATGAATCAACCAACCTGAACGTCCGTAAATGTCTTCCATTTTGCCTTGATAGAGCAGCAGGAACTTTCAATTTCGCGGTTCTTCCTAGCAGAATCTACTGGAAGGGGACCGTGAACTGAATGTAGCGAGGATGAAGCCTCTCCCGCATGTTTCTCCATGCCAAATGGGAGGTCTCGTAGAGGCATTGCCTCTTTCCGTGATGGTCCTTCTTCATGTTTTTCTCCATTCTCTTTTTCTGAACAGAAAAAAAATATAAAAGGAAGCCCATAAGTTGACAACATTAGTTCATACCGCTTGTTTCCTCGGTCTCCTTGGCAGTTTTTGCAGCCAAAGCAAGTTTACGAGCTGCATCCTCCCAAGCCAGACGAGTTTTCAACGGCAACATATTCCACTGAAAAGCTTGCTTTACTCGCGAATGCGAAATGGACAGCCCAGTAATTCTCTTTAATCTGTCACGGGTGCTCCATGTGAACTTTCCCATAGTTACAGTTGGTCATACAACTACAGATGTTGATAAAAAGGGCTGAAAACGACGAGCTTAACCACCGAACCATTCAGAAATGCGAAAAGCAACACCTTTTTCAAGTAAAGGAACGCCTAAAAACGAAGAATCTCCCTAGATTTTTCCATGTACCATGCCCTATCCCGGTTGTGCAGTCGAGTGCAAATCTATCAAAACATCACACTAGCGAAGGAATCCAGCAGTTTCACCTACTCAACCTTCTACCAACCGACAAAAAAGAGAAGATTTTAAGATGAATTAAATGTATTTTGTTCATAGCTGTTCATAGCTCACTTTGTCAGAAAAAAAACCAAAGGCCAAAAAACCACTACGATTTCGGAAGTACTGCTTCTCTGCCCCATGCCGAGTGCCAAGAATAAAGCAGTAAAGAACAAAGCTTACCACATGCCGTAGTACTTGAGCAAGCTGCAATACATCTTCAGCACCATTATTCACATGGTACCTGTCCGTGGTCACGTGGCTGAAAACAAATTAGACATTTATAGAAAAAAATCGTCATGGACCTGACAATGAGAGTAAAATCATTAAAAAAACGTACAATAAAGAAACCATCATATCATCGGTGACACAACTGGTCATTAATCGAAAGCCTGCACCAGCATGCTGCAGCGCTTCAACGCCATCTACACGGACCACATATAGCCTTTGCATAGGATCCGGAACCACTGGCGGGAGTTTAGGTAAGTGTTGCTCGTACAGTGATATTTCCTCCTACAATTGCACTTATAACATTTCAAATTCACTGTTTTCTCAATTTCATAATGTAATAAAGGCTGACTGAAAAGATGAAACAGGAACTGTTATTAATTCGTTTGTATCCTCTCTTTCCACTCACAAAAATCCCTTCGAAAATTTTCATTTATTATAATACCAGATTAGTCCCCCGTCAACCGCCGGGACCTTCCTTTCCTGCGCAAGCTTTCTATCCTCCGCTATGGTCCCTTCCTCCTGTGACACCAACACCCTGGAAGTGACGCGTATGCAACACAATGGTGTTTCATACAGTAGAAGGGACACAATCATGATATGACGGTAGATTTTCGCTTCCCTTCCTCATCCTCCCTTCCTCTCTCCCTGCCCTCCAGCTGCCACTGCAGCACCATGTGGAATGAACGGAAGTGTGCTAAGCAGGTGTTTATATAGCCCTAAGAGTGTTATCACAACTATCCTGCTACAAAACATTGATATCTCAAATCCTGTAAGCTACCCGATTTGTTAGCGGTTTGTTTATCCCATGAGCTTCCTTCTCACTCACTTCATTTTGCGGACGGACACACATACATACACACACACACACATACAGATACACAAACCGACACACAAAGTTAGCGCTTTATAAAATAGAAGGATATTGGAAGAGGCCTAATGATATGTAGTTGTAGCGACCAAGCGTCATTCTGTAGGGCCAGAACACTTAACGAGAGTAGAATGGGTGAAGAGTCACAGAAAAGGTCTGCTGTTTATGACTTCGTTATTCCGCAGGGGTCATTCCAAGTACAAGAGGTTTTTTTTGACTCTGAATCACTGAGTCGAGGAAATGCTGAATTTCTGGTTTTGGCCCAGGCGGGCTCGATAGTTCGGATCAAGCCAGTAGCTAAACAAACGGACCCTTTATTGAGATTGTAAACGCTCTGCAAAGCTATATACCGATTCCAATATAAAGGGCACGTTACAACCCCAACCCCCCTACAAATAAAAAGGAGAATAGTAATAAGGTAGTGGCCATCACAGTAGAGGGTGTGTTTCAAACAAAAAAAAGCAAAACACAATAAAACCACTACTACCGTTACCTTAACTAAACGTTCATATTCGTTCACGTCGGAGCCAGCCACCATTCTCTTACGATCGAGTGGAACTCCCTCTGACCAATCGGCTATCAAGGAATGATCAGATCGTCTCTTGCCGCCAGCTCCTCGAGGTCGACCACGGCCACGTCCTCTCTAAAAGTATCAAAGTTGTAAGACGAAAAAAGCGAGAGTGTTTCATGACATATGACACTTGGTAAGGAAAAACAAACCCCAGATGTGAAAGATTCTCTTGTCTTTGACATTTCCTCTTTGAAAAGCACTTTTTGATTATACGTCTTCACAGGCTGAAAATGCAAGAAAATGACCTTTTCTTATTAACAACGATACTGGAACTGTACTGAAGAGTGAGATCACCTTTCGCTGTCTACGGCTGACCCTGCGATGAGGTTCGAATTCCGGATCATCCGGATCGTCTTGTTGTTCCTCCTCTTCTTCCTCTTCGTCCTCCAAATCATCATCAGGACTGTAATCTCCTGTGCTCTCCGAGCTGGAGTGCCTTGCTCTGCTTTTTCTTTTTCGAGCACCAGATGTGGTTGAATTACTCGGAGTTGACTGGGAAACTCATATTTTTCAAACTTATAACAGCTTGTTTGCATGTAAAATCTCACTTTTTGCTCATCTTTATTCTTTTTAGGGCGTCCTCGTCGACGTTTTTGAGGTGCACCACTGTCACTGTTGCTTTCTCCATTTTGATTCTCATGAGCACGAGACATTTCACTGAGCTGCTCACGAACACGTTCCTGATGAAAAAAGTGAAGGTATAAACATTATGCGTCTAATTGTAATTCTAATACTACCATAGAAGATTATTATTTTATTAGATCATTTTTTAATAAAATTTTTTCTCTACTCAGCGACGTTCACCGACTCTTCCACTGGGACTTGACGTTACAGCTTGAAAATGCTTGATGTTACGGTTGGAAGGTCTTGGGGAGAAGGCCGAATACTAATCTCATGTCTGTAGCCTTTCGAAATTGGTTTTACATACTCTGAATAGTCATAGGGTGTGGGTCACTAGCAGATAGATTTTTTCGCTTTTTGGTGCGAGAAACTTTTCCGCTGCGGGGTTCCAGGTTATTATTAAAAACTTAGTGTTTGTTTTTGTTTCTGTTATTACTGACGCGCCTAAACCTGCATTTACGAATGACCTGGGTAGAGGAGAGAATATGCAAGTGTCAATTAATTAGTTTAGCTTATTCCTTTGAGACAGCACCGAAAATTGGAGAGCCACGGAAGGAAAGACGGAGAACCCGCGAAAATTATTAGAAGGGCAACAGCCGAGAACGAGAGAACAGAGACGGATTTTCCGCAACCTCTACAACGCCGAGCAACGACAGCAAGAGAATGGACACGTGTCTATACCCCTTCGCCAATTCTCCTATTCTCCGGATCGCCCAATCAGTAGGTATTTATTAGCTTCCATCACTGGTCAACTGACTCCAGGAAGTCGTAAATGTGAACAGTACCCCGACCAGTGAGTCCGTATCTAATCCATTTCGACTACCCTTTATTTCTTCAATGGGACACAAGCCATCAACACAGCTCCACTTGATCATATTGCTTCCAGAAAACCAGTCGTATAAATCCGTTCAAATCGTGTGTATGTATCGGCACGGAATCAGGTAAACGCACGCGCGATCCTCCAGATTTGCTGCCAACCACGTCTCCCTGTATCAGGTAAAAAAGGGTCGCACAAAGCGTGTAAGCCCGCCGCGCTTATGATATTCTATGCAGCCCACCCACAATCAACACCTTTTTTTTATCAATTTCGCTATGGTCGACTCCATCAACCTCGTACGATGCAGATTCAATACTACAACTTGTGCTATCCCTTTCTGTGGATTTTTGGATCTATTAGGAAAAAAAGACGGCACAACTTGGGAAGAGGGACTGTCCACCTCTCTGTATTGATTCTTGATGAAACGGTTGGGCAAATTTTTTCCCAAACAGCAACACTGACCCTTTGGAATTGCTACAGCACACCCACCACAAAGCCGCAGCCAAATCCAACTGTGGTGCTACAGTGCACCAACTTGCAAGCACGACTGCTAGCTTACAAATGATCGAGCTCATGTTTGCACTTATTGCTATCAGTCGGTATCAGTCGAACGTATCGATAACCGCTGCACAACCGCACCGCTCCTCAGAGCAAGGCTTCAAAGCAAGACCTCGCCCCGGGAATAGCCTTTGAAAGTCTTGCGAGAAACGGCTATCGCTGGCGAGCGGTCCAAGGTCCAGCCGTAAGAATGATTTTATTTTCTCGTGCTTCTCTGATGACCCGGTCGTAGATGATGCTGTCAGAAGATCGGACCTCTTCCAAAAAGACCCCACCACTTTCCAACGCGCTATACGTAAGCTGAAGCAAACTCTCTCTACCATACTTCGCGTTATTACGAAAGCGTTTCATACATTGCAAGCATTTGCATACGATTTGGAGTATATGTAAAGAGGAGTGATCATTTTGTACTCCTACTGACTAGTATAGGGCGCCATTCGTTGCGGGACCCACTGCCTTAACCCGCGGGGATCCCATGCGATCGCGGTTGAATTCGAACATTCCAGCTTCTCACGCATGTCAAGTGTCTGCCCTCACCCCCCACCCCCCTAGACTGGCGACACTGCCCCTGGCTCACGGATTCCCCGCTCCACATTGAAGGGTTCACTGTAGCAGGAGGCAGTGGACCCGTAACGAATGGCGTCCTTTACTAGTCAGAAGGAGTACAAAACGATGCGTTCGTTAACGAATCGTGCGATCCAAGATTCGATCCCGCGGAACTGTCACTCGAACTGCAAAATACAGACCGCATATCTCACGGTCTGTTGGCCTTTGTTCTATGGATTTACGTGCTGTCGCCGCACTTCGATAGAAATCGGTGATGGGTGTCCCCCAACAGGCCCACCGCGCGGCGAAGCAAGAGACGCAGACGCGGCAAAGGGACGAGTCGCAGCGCATACTGTAGCGGTTAGGCGTCAGGTTAAAGAGAGTGTACCATACTACGTCTCATATCGCACAGCACGCGCTGCAACTCGTCTCTTTGCCGCATCTGCGTCTCTTGCTTCGCCGCGCGGTGGGCCTGTTGGGGGACACCCCAAGTGGGATAGGCTGTTTCTAACATTTCTCGATGGATATCTAAAAGCACGGCTTGAAAACAAGCGTTACTCAACACGACTTCTATCAGTGTGGCGACATGCACAACAATTTCAGACACGGCTAGAGACGGCGAAGGTGATCGTATCGATCCGTTCTGTACACAGTAAGGTGAGGCGGCCTTTTAGTCAACGCCGCCGATTTCGCTTCGATCACCTTCTCTGTCATACCAACAGTGTTTTCCGAAAAGACATACCTAAATAGCGACAAAGCAACACCCAAAGTTGATGGTTTGCATAGTAGAGTGATAGTGTGAGTGTGATACGATCACACTCGCATAAAAAAATCAACATTTATATTTTCGTTGGAACTGATAAAAATTATAGTCCTGCACGCCATGGTAAAGAACTGGAACTATGATTTTTTTGTGCTTCACGAGCTTCTTGGGTGGAACGTTTACGAAATTAGGATCGTCACCTCCTAAGACACGAACTAAGGTTTCCAGCTTAATCTATCCCAGTAAGCACCTTACCAACTCTAGCGGTTCCGACTCTCGAATGAACCTTGCAATTTGATAAGTTCTCTTAGTATTGAGCTGTCCCGGAGCCTCATCAGAGCCTACATGTTGTATAAACAAATAGGCACCAAAAATCACCAAATCAAATCAATCATTGAATTCATTCAAGAGTCGGAACGCGCTAGAGTTGGTGAGAGGTGCTTAGTGGGATAGATCAAGCTGGGAAAACCTTATTTCGGGTCCTTGACCAGGGAATGCTTCCAACTTCCCGTAGAACTTTGGACGGAGATCCAGGCAGATCGGTACAGTACTGAATACTATTCACAGATATGTAGACCAAAACTGCTATACGACCTTTCTAGACAAGTTGGGAGCGGTCAAAATTGGCAAAAAAATGAAGCAAAATAGTGAGTTGCGGCACCGAACTGGCGCCAGATCGCCTCTGTCTCAAAAATGAAAGTAATATTCGTGACCAGGCCATCTTTTTACCCCTTACAGATACGGTTTCAGGGAAAACTAAAAGCGCCGATGCGGCTAGAATAGTTCGCCTCTTGCGCTGACGCCACCCTTCCAGTCAACTTTGACCGCCCAGGATTTGCTTAGAATGTTCGCATAGCAGTTTTGGGCTTAATATTTGTACTAGCACTTATCACTCTATTGATTCATCCGTCTTCATTCATAGTCCGCAATGGGAAGTTGGACATTCCCTGGTTAGGGGCGAGATCCCATCAGAACGTTAATTGGGCAAAACGTTCTCACCCAAGAACCTCGTGAAGCGCAAAAAACCATAGTTCCAGTTCTTATCATGGGTAAGGACTATAATTTTCATCAGTTCCATCATATAAATGTTGATTGAATTTAATGCGAGTGTGATCGTATCGCTATCATTCCACTGTGCAAACCCCCTCACTTTTGTGTTCTGGCTTTATGCGCTATGTAGGTTGTCTTTTCGGAAACTCTGGCTGTGTGTGACAGAGAAATGCGATCCAACGAAACGCATTGATCGACACTCTCAGCTTATCACTTATCAACACTCATCACTATCACTTTTGTGTGTCATAAATTTGATAAGTTTTGGTGCACCCAGAAACCTTGAGAGGTACTTCAAAAAAAACGTCACAAATGAGTTCCCGAATGCAAGGAGACAAAATGGAAGAACTATGGATTCTCTTGCTTTTTTTCTGCTCTTTTTACGCAGTTCATAAGGCGAATTTTCACATAAGAATGCTGAGTGATAGGCAATGCCTGCCTCAGCTGTGACTCGATCAGATTTAGTGTTCTACGGCAGTATGGAAAACGCAAGATCCGGTTCGAACCCATCCTCATGAGTGAGTGATTAGTCCATAGTTCGGCATTCTAGCGGAATCATGGCGTCAGTCTATTCAAATGTCTATGTCTATATTCAAATTCTACTCATTACAAAAGGACTGCGATCTTATTTGAAAATGTCCCAAAATTTGATCGGCAATCGTCTCCGTTCACAGTAGATGCGAAGTGTGGCGAAATTGATATGAAGGTTCGTACCCTCTATTCAGCTTACACATTCGGCCGAGTCAGGGCAGGCTATTGGGAGAAAATAGAGGCGAAAATGGAGGTGAAAAGATCGCGAAGAGGAAATTAGACGAAAATAAACTCCAGATCAACAGAAAAGACCTTTCTAGAGGTCCAACCAAGAGTAACAAGTATTCCTAATTTAACTTCCCTCAGCACAGATCCATCACACCTCGACTGGGCATTCAGGTATACATTAACACCTTGGAGCCCATGCAGCCCATATGTGGGCTGCAGTCCGTCGACCGCCTAGGACCTTTCAGCTCACATTTCGGAAACAAATATTAAGTTTTTCTTTTGTTTTCTTTTCCATTTCATTGATAAGGTTTCTTCTGCATCATACAGTAGGTTTTTCTTTTCAATTTGCTTGACAAAATTTTTAAAAATTTCACTGAAGTCCCAGCGGCCGCAAGAACGTAAAACATGCGCGGTCTCCAACGTGTTAAACGGTGCTCATGTCGTTGAGAAAACATTCAAAGCGAGTTCAAAGAGAGAAGAGGCCGACGGTGTACGTGGGCTAAGCCCAAGAGAGGGAAAAACGTCAGAGAGAACACTAA